TGCTCTATCGTTGGGCCTGTCGTCTCCTGACAACTGTCTAAGTATTTCCAGTGGTTGTCCTTTCAAGTTCATTGCCAGGTACACTCCTTTCTGCTCCTCTGTCCATCCATTCATTTCTGACAGTAGCTCAAATTGTGCTCTTTATGTTTCCCACAGTGCCTTCCCATCGAATTCCTGTGGCTTCCTTCGTACTGGATCACCCCTATTGCTGACATTCATATCTGGGATGTGACTTCTAACAGGACTGAAGATGTTTGCATTAGGGTTTAGCTGTGGGGTCTGGCAGGGGCTTCCTGTTGTCTGGGGCTGATTAGGTCCATGGTTAATATATCCTCCCTGTGTAAAAAACAGTAAAGCGTCCTTTAATTCACTTTGAAATTTACTAATGTTTTCCATTTGTACTTCTTGCCACTGATGTTGACTTTCCTGCAGTTTCTGCTGACTTTCCCGCAACTGTTGGATACTTTCTTTCTGTTTCCTTTCTTTTTCCAGTTGCCACTGCTGTAGTCTCCCTTCTTGTTTCTTTTCTTTTTCCTCCAACAACTGCTGTAATCTCTCTTCTTGTTTCTTTTATTTTACCTCCAACAACTGCTGTAATCTCTCTTCTTGTTTCTTTCTTTATCCTCCAACAACTGCTGTAATCTCTTTTCTTGTTTATTTTGCTGTTCGAACTGCCACTGTTGCAAGTTTTCTTGCCATTGCTGTTGTCTCTTTTCTTGTTTATTTTGCTGTTCGAACTGCCACTGTTGCAAGTTTTCTTGCCATTGCTGTTGTCTCTTTTCTTGTTTATCTTCTCGTTCTTCTTGTTTCTTTTGCTGTATCTGTATTGCTGCCATCAAATCTGCTAAGCTGTAGTTTGATTTGCCACTTCTCTTTTTTTTTGTCCCAGTCTCTGACACCAATTTGTTAGTATCTGCTTGTTTGATAATTTCCAGTAAAAATTCTTTCCGAGTGACTTCAGCAATACAAGTCCCTTCTTGATTAAAACTAGTTTATTCTTTTTCGTTACAAACTTTGTAATACACTTAATTTCCACAGTCACTTTAAACTTAACTACTTTTACAAAAACACGCTATAATTCACAGCGATTCACACACTTTACTTACGGTGCCTACTGCTCCCTTGATTCAATGATTAATTATTTCTCTTCAATCTATCTCCGTCTTATATACTAAAAAAGAGGGCGTCTAGCAAACGCTGGGACATTGGTGAGGATGCCCGATAAGTCACGATCCTTCTAGAAATTCCAGCGCGCATGCTCTCAGCGTCGCGTGACTTCCGCTGTCGTAATATAGTTCATAAATACTACTTACTGGTTTACCTTTAAGGCATATTATTAAACTTAACATTCGACATTCTAGGATCTGCTGACCAGAATGTATTTTTTAAACATTATATATTGTAAAACAGTTTGTGTGTGTATATTTATATATACACATACACACACTGTTTCACAATGTAATGACTTTGATTTTACAATACTTATAAATACTTGTTATACTTTTTAAATTGTCAAATCATTAATCTTGGCAGTCTTTTGTAGATTATATAAGACTTTCGTTTAACTTAGCATTTTCTGTCTTATATGTACATGTACTTTATTAATGTAAAACGTTTCTATTTCTTCTTGAACTATTAACTGTGTGTGCACACATAAGAAGTGTGTTTATAAGCGAATTTCATTCTTGTAGTTCCATACTTTAGATATTTCCAAAATGTTGTTTTATTCACTCCTTAAATTTTCAATGTACAATTTCATTTCAATTTCCATTTGTAATATCACTTAATACACCATGACTTAACTTGAACGTTTTTTCAACTTCATCAAATGTTGTAAGGTAAATCATACATTTATAACTGGGTAAAGCAGTATTCAAACTGTTAAACTTGTATAAATTTAGTTATTAACTAATAATATGAAATGAAGTTTATAATAGTATATTCTCCTGTATGAGGAATAAAATAATTTTCTGTACCATGATGACACTCAAATTTAATACTTTATTAAATTTTTTCTGTACTTTTGTAAAATCTTTTTTTCGTATTTGAATGTTTTTCATAGTGAAAACTGATTGTTGATAATACATAGATGAAATTATGAGTTGCATAAACACACACCTCTTGTATGTTAAAGGAGATTACACCAAATGTAATTGAACAAAATGAAGATCTCTACATGTTTACATATCTAAAGTTGAAAATATACAGCCAAGTCTGGATCATCATTTTACCAATGTCAGGTTTTTATGTCTGGGCTGGATTCTTTATAGTAGGTATCTCTGACTAGTTGGCAATACATTTCAACAATAAACAAACAGCATGCAGTCCACTTGTTTTAAAATAATATATTGAAACAAGCCAAACGTATATTCAAATGTTTATTACATGGTTGGTTATTACAGTTGTATCCAGAACTTTAACTATTTCTCTCTCTTTCGTCAAAGTCCACAGAAGCTGATTCAGTTACCTTAGAACACAATTTGACAAGATGAGTTACTCTTCTCTACTCTGTTATTATAATACAATCTGTGATAATTTCACTTTAAAAATCGCTACTATACACTCTTTATTGCTAACCTCACTATCATACAGTTTAGATCCAACTATCTAACTAGCTCAAACTACATTTTGGATGTGTATTTATAGCCCAACAGAGGCCTAAAACGTTCCACACTCCGAAATATTATGAAGCAATAATATTAAATTAAAACAACACGAAAAACTTGAAGGTTCTAGTAAAATGATGCAATAAAATAACAATTAAACAACATGATGTATGATTTGTAAACAGTTAAATAAACAAACTTGCAATAAACTATCACTTCTAAAGATAACTAAATTTAACACTTGTGCTATACTTAAAATGAAACAGTCGTGTATATCTAACAATAACCCCTCTTCAAGAAAAATATTTACACTATTTTTTATACTATATGCAAAAGACTGTTTTCAGTTCATGCACAAAGTCTATTCATACAATCTGCAACAACATTTGCAGTCCCCTTGATGGCCTCAATCTGGAACCAGTAGTTTTGGAGATACAACACCCACCTCATGATCCTCACACTGTGGATTTTACACCTCCAGATGTATGCAAGGGGTTGATGGTCCGATTGGATGATGAATTCCTTCCCATAGAGGCAGTGCTGGAATTTACAGATGGCAAATATGATGGCCAAACACTTTCATTCGATCACAGAGTAGTTCTTCTCGCTACTAAACAGCTATTTGCTGACACACATTATGGGAGCAGTCCATCTACATGTTCTTGCAAAAGTACAGCTCCAATTCCAACATCTGCCTGAATGATGAATGGTTTGTTCAAGTCACGCATTATAAGAATGAGCAAGCTTCCTAACATGTTCTTAAACTTCTGGAATGCCATGTGCTGTAGTTGTTTCCATTTCACCTTGTTGGGTTGGCCTTTCTTGGTCAGGTCAGTCAGTGGTGCAGAAACTTCTGCATAGTTTGGGATGAACTTCCTATAGTATCCCACTAACTCCAGGAAGGATATGACTTGCTGCTTGGTCGTTAGTGCTGATGAATTTTGTGTGTGGGTTAGCTCCTCCTCTTTCATGGTTATCTGTTGGTCACCCACCTTGTGTCCAACAAAGTCCAGCACAAAATAACCTATGTAGCACTTAGATGGTCTGATGGCAAGGCCTGCTGCCCTCACTCGCCTGAAGAGCTCTCTGAGTATCTTTAGATGGTTCTTCCCATCTGGCTGTGTGGGCCAGAATGTCACCAACATAATGCTCAATGTTTGTGCTTTTGTGCAACATCTTCCTCATCATGTGGTTGAATGTTACTTCTGAGTTGACTAACCCAAATGGCATCTCTTGAACTGGTAGCATCCATCTGGTGTCACAAAACTGTCTTCTCTTTAGATTCTGTCTCCATCAAGATCTGCCAATAACCTTTACTGCAGTCGATCTAGGAAAAAAACTTGGTCCTGTCTAGTTTCACCAAGATAGTCTCTGGCTTGCCCATAAGTTTGGAAGTGAACTTCGTCAAGAGGTTCAGCTTCTGGAAATCTATGCAGAAGCAGTTTAAGTCATCCCTCTTCTTCACGATTACCAGTGGTGAACATAGGCTGAATTTGAAGACTTTATAGTTCTGGATTCTAACATTATCTCGCCTTCTTGCTTGATCAGGTCTCTCATTACATAGGGCATCTGGTAGGGCTTCACTTTGACTGGATCCCTGGTCATAATTTTTATCTTGTGTTGTACAATGTCTGTCTTACCTGGTCTATCTGTGAAGATATCTGCATATTGGCACATTAGATCTCTTAGCTCATTCTTCTGCTTGCCAGTCAGTTCTTCATTGACATATTTGTACATCTCATTTACATCTAGTGGTCTTAAGTCTAATAGGTCTTTATCATCTATGATAAAGTCACTGTCTTCTGGTTCTGCATCTATGACAGCCACACCTGCAATGTCAATCTGTGTCTCAATAGCTGCATCCCTTAGGTCTTCTTCCCTCTCCAAGTACCTCTTCAACAGATTGGCATGATAGATCTTGGTTTTCCCATCTACTTTTACCTTATAGTCCATTCTGCTGATCACTTCCTGCACTTTAAAAGGTCCTTTCCACCAAAAGGTGAGTTTGTTGTTATCTATAGGTAGCAGAACCAAGTCTTTTTGTCCAACCTTGAAACATCAATCCTTGGCCTTCTTGTATTAGAAGTGCTTCTGACTGTCACAAGCTGCATACAACCTTTCTCAAGTGAGTTGACAGGTCTTCTCCAGTTGGTTTCTGAGACCTAACACGTACTGATATGTGTTCCTCACTTCTAGCTCTTATTTTCCTATTCCCAGTTCTTTCACTATCTGCATTGAACCTCATACCATTCTTTTGTACAGTAAATCGATGAATGGAAATCCTGTGCTCACTTGTGGGACTTCTAAGTAAGCAAAAGACACTGCCCACAGGTACCTGTCCCAATCATGTGGTCTCTCTTGACACATCTTCTTTAGCATGCTCTTTAAGACTCCATTGACTCTATCACAAAGTCCAATACACATCTGGAGTTGTATGGGATGGCTAATGATGATGAATCTGCACACCTCTTGCATCTGTTCTGAGGTAAATTGGGCCCCTCTGTCACTCAAGACTTCTTTTGGAAAGCTTACTCTGCAGAACACTTCCAGGAGGGCTTCTGCTACTCTCTCCATCTCTATCATTGGAAGTACTATGGTGTCTGGGTAACATGTTGCATAGTCGACTTCTGTTAGCACATATTGGTTGCCCTTGTGGGATACAGGTGCTAATGGCTCTGCTGAATGACTCTTCTATGAAAGACATCTCACCCAGTAACGTGACCCAATAATATAACGATCACCAATTCACAACAATTGAACTGCACAACATATGATTTGTAAACAGTTACATAAACAAACTTGTGATAAACTGTCATTTCTAAAAATAACTAAATTTAACACTCCCGGTATACTTAAATTGAATCAGTTGTGTATATCTAGTAACCAAGTTATAATAAATGAATGTTGTGATACTAAAAGTTACAGGGATGACGTGTAGTACTGATGCCAAGTTCAATAATAGAAACTGAAATAATAGGTTTGTACATATAAGCATGCTAGTGAGTTAAATGATAGACCTGTATATTGTACCATGGTACTGGAGTGAAGTATTAAATACACTTATAAAACATGTAACTATACTAATGAGGTGGCACATGTAAGTGTATATTTATATGTTCAAATGTAAAATTATCATCAATACGCACATATCTATACATATTACCATGTTAATAATTCTAGCAGTACAAACACACACACATAGACATCTATAGATATTACTGTTCTACTAATACATGTTAAATACACCCACACATATTTCTATCTTAGAAAAGTATATGTAGATGATGTTGATATATAAATACACTTTTGTGTACTATTATGATATAATATGCTTATCTGAATCAAATAATAAATGTTGCCATTTTAAGTCTGTTGGTACTGTAATAGTAAGATACTATTTATTGAATATTATTGAGAAACCAGCAGACTATGAAGAGTCAACATAAGTATTATCTATTTACTAAGCTGTTATGAAAAAAGAAAGATTTCAAGCATTAAAAAGTTCTGAGTACATTAGCCTCAAGTCAAAAGAAATTATACAAGTTTAGTCATATTGTACAACATGCCATGCCATTTATTAAGTGTTCTGATTCTAGAATTTGTTTTTCCAAAAAACTATATGTAAATGAAACAATTCTTGTATGTTTAGACTTAAGAATTAAAGAGCTTAAATCAATGAAACTGAACAATACTTTGTTTCACTTAAAGACTGAGTATCACTATCAACTGGTTCCAACATTTGATTGGGTCAGTTATAAATACTACTTGATTCTGAAGTCATGAGTAATCAAAATGTTTTACTATTGTTTATTTAATTACCAAGAGCACAGTTATGTAAGTATAATAACTAAACATAAAATGTTTTTCAACACATTATAAAGAACAATACAATCATTCTACAGGCTTGTTGTTACATACAAATAAAACTCCTCTATCAAGCACAATGAAAAATTCAATTCAACTAAAATATAATTACCTATTTTTTTTTGCTTCTTATACTTAATGAACTTAATAAAATAAAATTCAAAGGTATTACAAACTACACACCCTAAAATTTTATATCCATCATGAAATACTTGATTTAGCTGTTTAATATATTCCAGTTCTTGTATAATTAATAAAATTATGATGATGTAGAACACTTATGAAATGAATGTGTATTACAGTCAGTATGAGTTTAGTTTCAATATATGTAAAATAAAACACTCTGTATAATAAAAGTTGCCTAAACAGTTGGCTGTACACCCGTACTTTACCATCTGTTCCGGTAACAAGTTCAATTTTTTATTAAATAATAAAATATAGCTCTAAATGATTACAATCTAATTCGAGGGTTCTTGCTTTATACAACACAATCAGTAGATTTTGTACCAATAATTGACATTCAGTGCAATAATACTTTGGATAAAAATATTCACAGTTGATCTTTACTCACTCACTCAGCTTAAAAAAGACATCTACATTTCATTTTTTTTCATGAAAAATTTTAGAATTTCTATGTTTATAATGTCCAAATCATTTTGAGGTTATTGTGAACATTATTAATTCTTTGGTTTCTTACTAATTTTATTTTAAGTCTGTTCCATTTATAAGTGCAGGATTGTTGATTCCATGTGAGTTGATATTCTCTGTCATGACAAGGTTTAGTGTTCTGTCTTGGAAGTACTTAACCCTAGCTTCATTGTCTCCTGGACCCCAATTAGATTCAGCCTTTACCACCATGTGCAGGTTCTATTATGGTAAAAGCACAAACCAATAAACAAAAATGTTTTTTCAGCTGAAGAGCTCTAGAGAAGAATTAATTATTTTCTTTATCTACTTTTCTGATTCTGACAAGCTGCACTTAAGTAATATTTAAATAGTAGTTCAGAAAAAAAAGAAGATCCTTAATAAACATATTAGAATGTCTATTAATCTTGAAGTTTTCAATATACTGAAATTAAACAATATAAGGCAGAAAAATAAACCATTAAATAAAATTTCTCAAGGAATATTAGAATATGAATTAAGGAGTGATATATAATAGCATAATGAGGTAAGGTACTAGCAGAAATTACTTATTATTTACGTCAGAGGATGGTTTTTCTGGCAGTTGAAGTGTACAGCTACATGTTAATTCAGACTTACTTGAGAGTTTTTCAGAACTTTAAATAACTTACACATAGAACATCTTATACCAGTTCTTTTTAACCAGTTACCAAACAAAACTATGATTAAGAACTTATCACATTTACCTTGCAGTTTTTCAGAAGAATAAAGAACCCCCATAGTGGTATCTGACCCATAGATATGAGTGCTAGTAACCAACCAACACCATCAGCCCATAGTGGATACTGGTAGTTTTCCCCATACTTAATTCCTTTGTGCTCAGCCAAACTATAAACAAAGATGCACTGTAGAAGAAAATTAGATGAAAACTGTTAAGTAACATTTGATATTTTAAATGAGCATCACTGTATAAGAGGTGTCTTCATTTATTGTTTAGGTTCCTTTTCTGATAAGACCATTTGATCTAGGCACTATCAGCTGAATGTATTAATTATTTTTCTACTGAAAGAGTAGTTAATAATGGCTTTTTTTATCTATAGAGTGGTATTAACTGCTTTTAGTCTGTCAGAAAAATCTAAAGATAATTTTATTTTGGTATATAATATTTTATAACTTCCCTAAAACAAGCACTTTCAATTATTATTTATCTGTGTAACAATTGATAACTTCTGCCCACAAATGGAGGTTTTGATATAATGGGGTAACTGAAACATGGTTAAACGTAGATGATTTTGATGACAGAAATTTCTTTGAAATAAAGGGTTACTGGTTATTTAATAGGGATAGAGTATTAAAGAGGGAAGGAGGAGTGGCTTTATATGTAAAATGTGAGTTACATCCTGTTGAAGTTGAGGATAGAGATAATAGCAAGGAGATTGAATCCATTTGGGTTTCTATTAGTGGATAAAAAGGGAAAAGGCTTTTCATGGGAATCTGTTACAGACCATCATATGATACTGATAAAATTAGTGAGAAACTTTACAGTGAGAGTAAGATTTCAGCTGTTAATGAAGTCATAATTATTGGTGATTTTAATTTCAGGCATATAGATTGGGAAATGCTAGAGTCAAACCGTGAGGGAGAAAGGTTTTTGGAAACTGTTCAAGGTGGCTTTCTTCACCAAGGAACCTACTAGAAACAATGTAGATTTATTGTTAACTTCAAATATAGAAATGATCAAGAAGGTAGAAATTAGGAAACATCTGATGCAAGTGATCATTGTGTTATTAGATTCAATGTTTTGCTGAATATGGAGATAAGAAATAATGATATGTTGATTACAAATTTCAAAAAAGCAAATTTTGAAGGGATACAACAAGAACTATCTGTTGTGAATTGGAGACACTGATCAGACGTGAAAAATCTTTAAAGATAAATTTTCAAATATTCCATGTAAACATATTCCTTATGGAAAGAAAAGTGTAGCTGCAAGTAAAAAATCAGGTTGGCTCACAGAGAGTATAAGAGATAAAATTAAAGAAAAGCATAATAAATTTAAGAAATTTAAATTGACTGGTATGATAGGAAACTTATAAGATTATAGAAGGTTAAGAAAGGTAGTGAAACAGTGAAATTAGGACATAAAAAGGATGTATGAAAAAAGGTTGGCTGAAAATGTAAAAATTAGCACTAAGGACGGGAGATTTTATAAGACTATAGAAGGTTAAGAAAGGTAGTGAAACAGGAAATTAGGACATAAAAAGGCCGCCTGAAAAAAGGTTGGCTGAAAATGTAAAAATTAGCACTATTGACGGGGGATTTTATAGGACTATAGAAGGTTAAGAAAGGTAGTGAAACAGGAAATTAGGACATAAAAAGGCCGCCTGAAAAAAGGTTGGCTGAAAATGTAAAAATTAGCACTATTGACGGGGGATTTTATAGGACTATAGAAGGTTAAGAAAGGTAGTGAAACAGGAAATTAGGACATAAAAAGGCCGCCTGAAAAAAGGT